GGAGGAGAGAAGGAGGAGCAGCAGGACAGGACCAGGAGCAGGAGCATGTGGAGGGAAGGGAGGACGAGAGGAGGGAGGAGAGAGGAGGAGGAGGAGGAGGAGGAGGAGGAGGAGGAGGAGGAAGGAATTTGGAGGGGGGGGGCGGCAGGGGCTTTCGTCGGCAGCACTGGGCGGCGGCGGTGCGGATCGACAGCCTGTGTGGGTAGGGCGAGTCCTGCCGGGGTTTATGACCAGATCCGCAGGTGCTCCTCGCCAGATGCCCGCACGCGCTCCTCTCCACCGTCAAGTGGGCGGCGGCGGGCCGCCCAGATCCACGGATGCCATCCCTAAGCGTAAGGGAAATCAGCAGTCCTAGTCCGCAGATGCTCCTCTGCAGCTTGAGTCCTGCTGTGGCCCAGCCGTGTCCATACATGCTCCTTTCAGCTACGGATGTGCGGCTGAGTTTGCCCAAATCCACATTTTGCAAGGGCGGATCGTGTTGTGTTGGGTGTTGGTCGAATCCACAGATGGGCGGTCAAACTGTTGAACAGGGCGGCCGTCCCGGGGCGACCTGGACGCGCACTGGCGACTGTCACTGGACTCAAACCTTCCCCCTTGGAGGCAGAGGGTAGTAAAAAACCTCAGGGCGGGCTAGGTTAAATACGCCCTGAAGGCTTTATGGATATAGTTAGGGTGGCACAGGACAGTGGCTGGGACGAGCGGGGACGCGGTGTGGGCAGCCATTTGTTTGCACAACTCCATTCTGCGCTCCCGCTTCCTCTCCCCTCATCCGTGCCTGCTCCTTCCCTGCTTGTTTCCTATCCTCCCTAGCCATCCTCATCGTCCTCCTCCTTTCCGTCCCTCTCTCCCACCTCCGCCTCCGCCTCAACCTCGTGATCGTGGTCGTCCTTCTCCGCCGTCTGCTCTTCATTCCCCTCCTTCTTCTCCTTTCCCCCTCCTTTTCCTCTTCCTCCTCCTTCTTCTCCTCCCTCGTCTGCTCTTCTTGCCCCTGTCAAGGGGATCAGGGGGAGGACGATGAAGACGGCGAAACATCAGCGACGGTGACGGCGACGGCGACGGCGACGACGAAACGACGACGACGACGAAGACGACGACGACGACAACGACGACGACGAAGACAACGACAACGCCGACCCCGTTTGCGGCGAGGTGGTGCACCGGCTGCCCAGCGGTGCCTACCAGCGCTGGCGCATAAAGGACTGGGACTTCGATCCCTTCAGGCTCCCAGAGGAGTACGAGGAGGAGGAGGAGGAGGAGGAGGAGGAGGAGGAGGAGGAGGAAGAGAAGAAGGAGTAGGAGTAAGAGGAGGAGGAGGAGGAGGAGCAGAAGGAGGAGAAGGAGGAGGAGGAGGAGCAGCGTAAGCAACGGGATCTGGGATTACCATCGTTATCGTCTTCGTCGTCGCCATTTCCCTCTCCCCCATCACCCCGCTCCTACTCCTCCTTAGCAGCCTTGCAATCATACGTGCGATATTGTTGATGATGGTGATGGCCGTAGTGATGGGGATGGTGATTGTCGTGATGTTGATGATGCTGCTGATGATGCTGATGCTGATGCTGCGGCTGCTGCTGCTGCTGACGACGACGACGATGATGCTGATGTTGATTATGGTGATGATGCAGATTCTGATGACGATGATGATGATGCTGATGATGATAGTGAGGATGGTGATGATGGCGATGATGATGCTGATGAGTCTGACGATGGCAGTTAAAACGACGATGCTGATGCTGCTGCTGATGATGATGCCGTTGCTGCTGATGCTGTTGACGATGTTGATGCTGTTAATGATGCTGATTCTGATGATGATGCATGATGCTGGTGATGCTGCTGCTGCTGATGATGATGAAGATGATGCTGATGATGCTGATGATGATGACGATAATGCTGATGCTGATGTTGATGATGGTGATGCTGACGATGATGATGTTGATGCTGATGATGCTGATACGTATGAGGATGATAATGACGATGATGTTGGTGATGATGCTAATGATGGTGCTGCTGATGATGGTGCTGCTGCTGCTGCTGCTGCTGCTAATTATGCTTATGATACCGACACCCACGACACCCATCACGGGAGGAGGCCGGACGGCAGAGGGCATCGACGCTGATGTCATGCCGTCGGACGCAGAGGGGCCGAACGGGCACAGCGAGGATGGGGGGAGGAGGAGCAAGAGGAAGAAGAGGAGGAGGAGGATGAACAGGCGGAGGGGTTGGAGGAGGGAGGAGGAGGGAGGAGGAGGAGGAGGAGGAGGAGGAGGGGAGGAGGAGGAGGAGGAGGAGGAGGAGGCGGAGGAGGAGGAGGAGGAGGAGGAGGAGGAGGAGGAGGAGGAGGGGAGGAGGAGGAGGAGGAGGAGGAGGAGGAGGAGGAGGAGGAGGAGGAGGAGGAGGAGGAGGAGGAGGAGGAGGACGAGGAGGACGAGGCGCTAGCGCGCGAGACGCAGGCGGCGCCGGACCTGCGCGCAGCGGCGGCGGCGTGGGCGGGGAAGAGCTAAGATGCCCGCGGGCTGCCAGTGGGTGCTCCAGCAGACCCCGCCTATGGCGGACTGCTGGGCCCTGCTGGGTCAGCCGGCAGAGTCGCGGGATGGTGGCAGAGGAAAGCTTTTACGAGTCGTTGAGCCAGCCTGCCGGCCAGCGCCCGCGGGGGAGAAGTCGCGGCAACGCTCGAAGAAGAAGGATAAGGGAGGAGGAGGAGGAGGAGGAGGAGGAGGAGGAGGAGGAGGAGGAGGAGGAGGAGGAGGAGGAGGAGGAGGAGAAGGAGGTAGATGAGGAGGAGGAGGAGGAGGAGGGGAGGAGGAGGAGGGCGAGGAGGGTGAGGAGGAGGAGGAGACGAAGGTGGAGGAGGAGGAGGAGGAGGAGGAGGAGGAAGGAGGAGGAGGAGGAGCAGGAGGAGGAGCTGGAGGAGGAGGAGGAGGAGGAGGAGGAGGAGGAGCAGGGAGAGCAGCAAGATGACGAGGAGGAGGAGAAGTGGGAGACGGGGGAGGAGGGGGAAGAGGAGGGAGGAGGAGGAGGAGGAGGAGGAGGAGGAGGAGGGGGAGGAGGAGGAGGAGAAGGGATCAGGAGGAGTAGGAACAGGACGAGGAGCTGGAGGAGGAGGGGGAGCTGGAGGAGGAGGATGAGGAGGAGGAGGAGAAGGAGGAGAAGGAGGAGGAGGAGGAGTAGGTGTGTGACCAGGAGCGACACGGGGGACAATTTCGTGAAATGTGAGTGTGTGGGAGAAAAACATGAGCCATCGAGAATCTGATATGATTGTGATCAGAGGGACGTGAGCCATCAAGAGTCATATGAGTGTGTGATTCCAGTGAGTGAGCCCCAGGATACAATCGAATGCTGCTTTTGGTGGCTGGTGGTCGCGCGCCCCAGGGTGTCGATAGCCAGTCACGCCGTTTCGGTCGAACGCCCCAGGGTGACGACGGGAGTTGGCCTGTATTGTAGTGTCGTGTTGTTTAATGTGTAATAAGCCTCACCTCCGTGGCCAAACAGTGAGACCCGCGGTGTGCAAGCACGTTCGGGGATATCTCGCTCGCTCTCCCCTCTTATACTCCACGGCTTTGCCGGGTGCAAGCTCCAAGACGGAGCGCCTGGATCTGGCCGAGGGAACGAGAGAGCAGCCCGCGGGACAAGGGACACTGGCCGAGGGAGAGAGGACACGCTGGCAAAGGCCAGGCCGCCGCCCCTTCCTTCCGCCATTCCTTTCCCATCCTTTTAACTGTAAGTTTAGAGATGTGTCAGTTGTGTGACAGTATGCCGTGTACATTTCTCATTCCTGTCAGAGACAAGAGCAGGGGTGCGGGAAGCGAGGGCTTCCGTATCCGCTTGGCTCAAGAACTGCTGAGCGCACGGAGACAAAAAACAAGTTTTCTATTATGCTACACCCTTTCACTCTTATCCTCATCCTTCATCATCGTTTTGTTCGGTCTTCTCAAGCGGGTACTTGATGTGACAAGCAGAGATCACGATAGTCCACCGGGGGTCTTGGAGGACCTCCCAACCAGCATAGCTCCATATGGGCCAATACGTGGTTCAGGACACACAACTTTGGCTACAAGGGTTATGAGCCCAGGCGCTGGGGAGATCACCGTGCGTCCTTGGGGATTACAGATCGACAGGCCTGGCACTACGACGCTCTACTGCGAGGTGTGCATGATGGCCGCGCACGACTTGTACGCACGCTCAGCATGCTACCGGTCGAGCCACCATGGTTGCCTGAAGGTCGGGGTGGTGGGTGAGTACGCGTTCTGTGAGCGCTGTTCACCGTGGGCGATATCCCAATACAGCAACTTCAACACGGACGTTCAACGGCAGATGTGGTCCACAAGACTTGCACGACAGTTGGCGTCATGGAAAGAGACAGCAGTGACCACTCAGGGTGTCGCCAGTGCAGTCGGACCCGCTCTTGGCAGCGGGGTTGCTATGATGGGACAAGGTACAGCGGCTTTCGTCAAGGGGGCTGCGGAGGGCATCGCGACAGCAGTTTCGGCCCCAGGCGTGGCTTCCTCTTCTGGGGGCCAGCCGCCAGGCCTGCCCGCGCTGACCGACGCAACCACTGGCGCACGAGAAGCTGACGCGCATGGCAGAAGAACTACGTTGGATCTGGTCGAGCGCCCTAGGGTGCCGATAGGGCCTCCGGAAGAACCAACGCCGGCAGCGGCACTACCACCGCCACAACCACTTCAGCCAGCCGCAGGGCAACCAACGACCAGGGCCATATCCACCTACCCGAAAACTCTTGAGAACTGGCCCATTCACTTGGATTTGCAGCAAGGGAGACTTACCCAGAAAGAAGCAGACAAGCGAGGGTTTTGCATCGCGTGCCACACCCCGAACAAGAGCCACAGGGCACATATCAACACGGGCAATTGTATTATGTTCCCTGGGAGCAGCCGGGTGGCATCGACCATCCACGAGAGCGCCGCTATGCAGGCCAGAGACCAACGAGAACACCCCCCAACCACTCCAGCGCAAGGTAGTCACCTTTCTCCTGGCCAAAGTGCCAGGCCAACCAAAGCTCCGAGCTCGTACGCCTCCATCGAAGATGCTGGCGCTGCAGAGACGGCGGAGCAGACGGCCATCGTCAAGGTCACGACCGAAGCCTCGTCCGCTTCAGCGGCCGGTCCTGCCGATGATCTGTCCAACCAGGGTGCCGCGATGACCAAACACACACAGACAATGGAGGCGATACACATGTTCATGTCGGGGCAACGGAAGGTGAACGAGAAAACAGCGGCTGATATCCTTCACCTCCAAGAGCGTCTCACATCATTGGAGTGCAGTCTCACGAACACTCAGTGCAAGCAGGCCGACTTGGCTGCTGACAGGACAGACATCAAGACTCTGCTCACCGAGCTGACCACGCGCACGGCTTCCATCGAACAGAAGATGGACAGCTGGTGGGATTCAGGCGAGCAGCAGGATTGGACGGCGCAGGGGCACAGCGACGATATCGACTTCGACGAAGCCTTGGGGGAGGTCGTCGCCAACGAACCCCTGGGGGAGGAACCCGGCGTAACCAGACACCTGGTGCCGGCAGATGTCCCCAGACCAGGGGAGCAGGGGCTGCTGGACAGTTTATGGTCTGAGTTCGATCCCGTGAGACCGCAGATCTCGACGAGTCCGTCCTTTGGAGTCAGGGAAGAGGGCGTCCACGGACCTCCGCTGACCCAGGCAGCGCTCCCTGCCCCCAGCCACGCTGCAAGCCATCTGGTGGACTACTCAACACAGCGGCTTGGAACGGAAGTCGTTGCAGTTGGGCAAGGCGCGGCGGGCCACTCTCTCGGGGGCCTCGGCCGGCAGCATATCCATCACGATGCAACCGTAGCGGAGTTTCTCATACCAGCTGAGATGCGACAGGCACCAACAAAGACCATTGGGGCGCAGAACGTCACCGCAGCGAGCCGAGGCACGGCCCTCCCGACGCTCCAGCCAGGCGGCAACTGGTTCCCTAGTGCACTTCCAGCACCGGCAGCTGCAGCACTGACAATGCAGATGGATCCGTGGCGGAGCACCAGTGGTCCAACCGGAGACGCAGCGAGTCACCCACTCGCAGGTACCAGCGGAGGTGGCGCTACAGATTGCAGTCTCCAGGGGCACGTACCAGCCTTCCCTGGTGTGTGTAGCGGTTCAGCGTCTGATCAGCGTACAGGAGCCGCCCCCGCAGCTTCAAGGGCTGCAATGGACCAGACTGTCTCATCACCGCCTGGGCTGGCCGAGACGGAGCTAGACCAGCAGATGAGTCCACAGGAGTTAAGTCTTCTGATGAAGTTCTTTCAGACAGTGGGAGAATTGCCGAAACTTGAGTACGGGTCTCCATCAGACAGGGCCGAGCGGTTACAGATGTGGAAGCTCGCTATGGGGACGACCCTCAAGACCACCCGCCCGGTGGTGCTTCAGTACTGGAACTTCGTCGTCAAGGCGGCGGAAGACATGTACCAGGTGTGGCTCGACACACCCTTCATGCAAAGGAGTCGAGTGAAGTGCCTCGTGGAAATTCCGCGGAGGTTCGAAGACATCGAGTTGTACCTTCACCCGCGGATTTTGGCGACGCTGCCTTCGAAGTTAAAGGACGCGGTGATGCAGGAGAAGAGCATCGGACTAGACATTGCCACTCCAGGGGTGCTATTCCGATTGTTTACTTGGATGCAGCCGGGCGGACTGGAGGAACACGACGCCCTCCACAAGACCCTGACCAGTTCGAATCTTTGCGTACACCCCCAGGCGGCACTGAAAGAACTGAGGCGGTGGTTCAAGGCCATTCAACGTGCTGTCCAGATTGGCATGCAGCTGCCTTCCTTGGAGCTCCTGTACCGCGGAGCGCGCTCGATCTACGCAGGCGCCTTCGAGCATGACGAGTTTGCACTACGTCTTCGGTTCACCACCGAGGAGCAAAAATGGGGCTTTCCCCACCGACTGTCCTACGAAGGGCTGCAGGCCATCAACACCTTTGCAGAGGGTGAGCTTGCAGCGCTGGTCCTGTGTGGAACTAGCTCCATCAACACCTCCCTGCCCTTGACAGACACACAACGTGCCAGGGAAAAGGGGGGAAGGCTGCTGAGAAGAGCCGGGCTGCGGCAGCAAGGGGGGCAGGACTCTCAGAACAGACTACCACGACCACTCCTACAGCAAATTTGATCACCAAGGACGGGGTCAAATACTCAGCCACAACTTTTTCCTGGGCAAAGCCGTGCGATGCTTGGGACAAAACAGGGGTATGCCCCAGAGGCATCAACTGCTGGTTCGCACACAAGAGCTTTCCCACCCACGAGGACAACCAACCGATCCTACGCTGTGTCATATGTGGGGATAAAAGGACACACCAGTCGTGATTGCGTCTGCCCTGGTGGCGGCAAGGACGAGGAGAAAGAGAAGCACTGGGGCGACTACAGGAAGAGAAAAGAGGAGGCCGTCGCAAAAGGCAAAGCCGCTGGCAAGACCGAGGGGCCAGACGGCAAAGGCGGCAAAGGGAAGGGCAAGGGCGACAAAGGCGGCAAGCCACGCGCCAAGTCCCTCCACACTTCGGCAGCGTCTTCTGATGTGGCCGAACTACCAGCAGGAGCGGTCGGTTTAGACAGCTGGGCCAACGTCTGGCTTCAGTGCAAGAGCCCAGACGACGAGTCTGCTACTTGGACAGAGGCGCTCAACCTGGCCGACGGGAGCACGACCTCGTGCAAGACAGCACTGGGACCGAAAGGGATCCCACAAGCGTTCGTGCGCCGCCGCCCCGAGGGGGAGAACATTGATTTGGCTCCATGGGGGTGGTTGACAGAGAGGTGGTGTGAAGTCACCTGGACAGATACGATCACGTTGAAGACCCCGAAAGGAACAGAACTGACTCTGGGAATGTGGCGTGGAATGCCATATTTGACACATGAGCAGATGAACGCCGTGATCCAGGACCTCCCAGCGGCGAGCGCCCCAGGCTGGTCAGGCCGAGCGGCGGGACAAAAAGTGTCGGCATCTTGTGTCGTGTGGGGACCACTCGGCTGCGCAGCCAGAGTTGACGTGCCAGAGACGACCACAGGCACCTCCGCCACCCTGGCGGCCAAGGGGTCCCAGAAGATGCAGCGGAACCAGCTGAAGGAGCAACTGAAACATCTCGAGTCGACGGTGAGCAAGGAGGACCGCCAGAACCTTCTGAAGCGCTACGACGCCTTGCCAGATCGCTACTACGACGGTTCGACAGCCGCCGGGCCCGAGAATCTCCTCGATTGGAGCTTCATGAAAAGCCAGGGACACGTCAAGTTCCACCCAGTGGACCTCTGGGAGTGCTTCGCAGGCAGCGCAATGCTGACAGCAACGGCGCGGGACAGTGGCATGACTCACTTGCCTCCTGTTGACTACAGATGGGGTTTCCATATGGGCCGACTGACAGATCAAATCGCGATTTTGTATTCTCTGATTGTGTACGGGGCTACTACATTGTGCGGTTCTCCTGATTGTCGGCCGCGGGGTAACAACTCCAGAGGGTGGGGGCAGGCGAAGAAAGATCACGCGCGAGCTGGGCAGACTCTGACTTTGCGTTTCTGGACCATGATGTGCTTCCTTCAGGTCGTGATGGGCCGCACTTACATGATCGAGCAGCCCCGGGGCAGCGGCATGTATTCTGATTCGCCTGTGGCACTCTTGGCCCACAGTGGAATGGACCTCCACAAGTCTATCACATATCAGTGCACTCACGGAGCAATGATCAGCAACGAGCCCATCAAGAAAGCAACAGAGTTTTGGAGCAATAGGGACATTGCGTCCTTGTCCCCGAACCTGAGCAAGCGATGTGCTGGTACCCACAAGCACCTACAACTACGAGGCAACGACACCAGAGGGTCACTTACACAACAGGCAGCGCAGTTCCCAAAGGGCTTGTGCGACTGTGTTGTGGCTTTCGCTGACAGTGTGGCACACGGCGACCCAGATGGGGAGTTCTTCTGAACTCAACTCCGATTTCTGTGACAAATTGCGCGACGAGGATGCCAAACCACACGGGGTCAATGACAACATCTTACGGTTCATGGATCTGTTGCAGAGGAGGGCGCGTGCAGATGGGCTTGGTGAGTCTTGGGACGTCATTGTGAAGCCGTGGCTGGACGACAACAGAGCTCAGATTGTACATGTGTGTTCGCCGTGCCCAACAATCTCAGCGTCTACCCGTGCACAGTGCGCAGCGCCATCCACTAGCGGTACTGCAGGGCACAGAACCAGACCGTCATCGGTCGAGCGCCCCAGGGCGACGATAGGTGGCGGGCCCGCGCTGCATGGACAAGGGGCCAGACCCTCACTGGTCGAGCGCCCCTGGGCGACGATAAGTGACGGAGAAGGTGCCGAAGCCGAGAGGTTGCGAACTGCAGCAGCAGGTTGGGGGGAGTTGCTTCGAGCCTGCGGTGGAGAAGTACAACCACCAGAAGGAGTGCAACCAGAGGGCGTTGAACCTAGCGCAGCCCACGACGGCTTCGGCAGTGGCTGTGTGGAGGACGTCATCGCAGGAGATATTCCCGAATCACCTTGGCAATACAAGGAGTACAAAACTGGCAACAGCACGTGGCAAGCGGCCGCCCAACGACGCCACGCCCACCGACGGCGGACAGGGGAGATTCTGGGAGTAGCTAGCTAGCATCGGCCTAAATTGCCCCCACGAAGCTACACCGCAAGTGGGGAACCAAGTCGGACAACGACCTGGCCACTACTTCCTAGCCCTGACCGTGCGTGTCGACGAGAGTACGCGGAAGAGGGGCCGGGGCGTCCAAGCATCCAGAGGACCGCTACATGAATACCCCAACGACGAGGGGAAAGCACTCCTGGTAGTTCATAAGTTGCCCCTGGTCTATGCTGCTGTCATTCACTCCAAAGGAGAAGCGGCGAAGGCGACGATGTCTTTGCTGGTTCGGGTACGCGATGACCACGCCAACTTGCCACAAAAAGTGGTGTTCCGAGTGCGTTCCGACAAAGGGCAGGAGTTCATGGGCAAGGAACTGGAGGACTACTGCCACCAATGGGGGATCAGACGAACCCGCACACAAGGATACGACCCCAGTGGGAATGGGCAGGGTGAAAATGCAATCGGTTTCTTGAACAGAAGTGCGCGACACCTGCTCACAGGAGCTAAATATCCGACGTGTTGGTGGGGGACCGCCGTTACGACAGCAGCGTTTTACTCTCGGTGTGCTGCTGGTCTGGAAGCGTGGCCTACGGTACCATATGGATCGCGAGTGATGGTGGTACAAGACCCGCCAAGCCGCAACGCGTTCGCACCACGATCGCTCCCAGCGGCTGCTTTCGGACCCTCCGAGAGAGTCCCGGGCGGAATGGTCATCTATCAAGGCGGACGGCTACGGGAGGTGACGAACTTCCAGCTGAGCGACATGAAAGCAAACGAGATTGCTTTCGTGAGGATGCACCTGAAGGCCTACGACACTCCAGTCGCCCCTTGCGAGTTTCCACCAACGGAAGATTGGAATCCCCAGCAGATTTCTTCAGTTGGGAATGGGTTGCCTCCCAGCGCAGCCTTTGACGGCAACCAACTGTTGGATCAGACGCAGCTCCGAGAACCGCCACAGATGCCGAACAAGGAGGAAACTCCAGAGGTTCCCAGCATCAGGGTCGAGGGGTTGATTGAAGAGGAACCTTCGGAAGTTGTGAGGCCACGTGGTGGCGACAAGCAGGGAATATTGGTATCGATGAAGTTGAACAAGTACCAACATCACCCTCACCAGTTCCCTCACGCCAGACTGGCATTCAGTGATGTATCAGAGGCAGCGGCAACGTACGGTTCTGACCAGACTGACCGCGAAGGAGGCGCCACCGAGGCTCCAAACGACGAGCTGGTAGATCTTACTGATACTTCGGATGTTGATTTTGATGATGACGAGTTCGTGTGTGGACATCTGCCGTGGGGCAGCACTTCACAGGAATGTGAGGCCGCAGAACACCCACAAGATGACCTTGACGGTGCTGACGCCCCACCAACTCCGGACGACGAGGCCGACTACGACGACGGTGTCGAGGCATCTCCGAACCACAGCGCTAAGAAACAGAAGCCACGGAAATCACGCAACCGATTTCGAACGGCATCAATATGGCCACCTTCATGCGTTAATGGTTCAAGCGGTACGCAAGCTGACTTGATTGGCTCAATACGTTCGCCATCACATCCGTCATCTACTTCACCTCCATCCTCTACTACATCATCTTCGTCACTTACTACTTCTTCAATGAGGTCACCAGCAGCATCTATATGCACAGCGGTGCTGGCCGCAGCTGCGACGTGAACGCCTTCGTATGCAGCTGTTGTGGAGTCCGGAGCATATCCAGACACTGAGCCAAAAGATGCGCAGTCATGGTTGGCTGATGAGTCTCAGCTGCTCGAGGCCGGGGCCCGGATCATCGAGGAGAAGGCGGTCCGCGGCAGCGACGGCGCCGAGCGAGAGGCCTGGAGAACAGCTGCCGAAGCCGAGGTGCAGAACAGCTTCTAACGCCTCGGCGCAGTATTTGTCACGACCCCCGAGGAGCTGGCAACCGTAAGGGGGGGAGGCAGTGCTCCCTATGACAGCAGTGTGGTCCCTGAAGCTTGGCGGCGTCCACAAATGCCGTGGCTGCGTGTGCGGGAATTTCATGAAAAAGGACCCCACGGAACAGCTATGGACAGCCCAAGCAGAGGTCAGCTCTGTCCTGCACGCGACGAGACTTGCGAGGTTGCGGCAGTGGGGCGTGATGAAGCTCGATGTGAAAGGAGCTTTTATGCATGCGCCGCTTCCCGATGGAAAGCTGGTTGTCGTGCGGCCACCGTGCATCTGGGAGTCATTGGGAGTGGTTCCGATTGGTACTCTGTGGACGCTCCGCCGCACAGTGTATGGGCTCAGATGTGCGCCTCGCTGCTGGGGGCTGGAGCGGGACTCGAAGCTACGGTCCGCACAGTGGTCGGTTGGCAAGCGCACGTTCAGACTAGCTCAGTGCACCAGTGATTCGCAAGTATGGCGCCTTGTCGAGCAGGGAAAGGAGGATGACACTTTAGGGATTATGTGCTGCTATGTGGACGACTTCCTGCTGTCGTGTCCGGCAGGACAGATGCGCAATAATTTCGTTGACTGTTTGAAGGCAGTTTGGACGATGTCAACCGAAGTGGAATTGACAGCTGAGCAACCCATCGCATTTGCTGGTATCGAGATGGAGATCGAGAAGAAGAGCGGCGATCTCATTGTGCACCAGAGAACATGTGTGAAACAATTGTTGCTGAAACATTCCATGGATCGTTTTTTTTCGAAACCGATGGCCACGATTCAGATGGCACCTCCTGACGACAGCGACCAGCCACCAACGCTCCAAGAGCTTTGTGCTCTCCAAGGGCACGCGGGGAAGCTGAATTGGTTGTCAACGAGGATGAGACCAGATCTGTCATATTGGACGAGCGTGATAGCATCGGCTACAAATCGGTATGCGTCGTGGACTCTTGCTCTGTGTCGAAAAGTTCTACGCTATCTTGTCGGCACTGTGGAGCAAATGACTGAAGTTCA